ACCCCTTCCTATAGACACCATAAAATGTGTCTCTATCGACCCTTTCTTTAATATTAACATAACCTGCTGATACGACCTTCCTATAGTCGCCATAAAAGTGTCTCTATCTATCCTTTCTTTACTTATAACATCACCTGCTAATATGACCCCTCCGTAAAGGCACCATAGAAAGTGTCTCTATCTACCCTTCTTTTTACTTATAACATAACCTGCTGATATGACCCCTCCGTATAGGCATCATAGAAAGTGTCTCTATCGACCCTTTCCTTATTTATAACATCACCTGCTGATATGATCCCTTCCTATAGGCATCATAAACAGTGTCTCTACATTTCCTTCCTTTACTAGTAACATCACATGCTGATATGACCCCTCCCTATAGGCATCATACAAAGTGTCTCTATCGACCCTTTTGTTACTGATAACATCACCTGCTGATATGACCCCTTCCTTAAGATATCATAGAAAGTGTCTCAATCGACCATTTCCTTTCCTATAATATCACCTGCTGATATGACCCCTTTCGATAGACACCATAGAAAGTGTTTCTACCGCCCCTTTCTTTACTTATAACATCACCTGCTGATATGACCCTTCCTATAGACACCATAGAAAGTTTCTCTATCGACCCTTTCTTCACTTTTAACATTATCTGCTGATATGACCCCTCCCTATATGCATCAAAGAAAGTGTGACTATCGACTGTTTCTTTATTTATAACATCACCTACTGATATGACCCCCTCCCTATAATATAAGCACCAAAGAAAGTGTCTCTATCGACCTTTCTTTACTTATAACATCACCTACTGATATGACCCCTCCCTAAATTCACCATAGCATGTGCTTAACGACCGTGTCTTCAATTATAACATCACCTGCTGATATGACCCCTTCCTAAAGGCACCAAAGAAAGTGTCTCTATCGACCCCTTCTTTACCTATAACTTCACCTGCTCATATGACCCCTCCCTATAGGCAGCATAAAAAGTGTCTCTATCGACCTTTTTTTTACTCATAACATCATCTGCTGATTAACCCCTCCCTGTAGGCATCATAGAAAGTGTCTCTATTGACCATTTTTTTTACTTATAACATGACCTGCTGATATGACTCCTTCCTAAAGGCACCATAGAATCTCTATCGACCCTTTCCTTACTTATAATATCACCTGCTGATATGAACACTTTCTATAGACATCAAAGCAAGTGTCTCTATCGACCCTTTCATTACGTATAAATGATTTATCTTTTCTCTTGTTATAAAAAGAGCAATTGGTTTTGATAAAACAGGAAAAATGTCATCATTTCAAATTTTACAGATGCAGTAACACTTTAAGAAGATGTTTTGTAGTTATTAATTTGGAATGAAGTCTATTTTTCTGTCATCAAATTAATACATTATTACTGCATAATCAACATATAAATTGCTGAACAATCTTGTCTTTTTTCTGGTTTAATTGCTAAACTCTGAACTTTTTTTTTATGATAAATGATAACTCTTAGAACTATACATGTAAGTACGATAACAAATTAAACCTTCAAATAGTCAGCTTATGAAAAGTATGTGATCAGCGATTGATTTCGGAAAATTAGAATGTCCATAGAAATTTGTGTATGCTGGATAAGGGCAGGAAACAGGCAATTGATATATATGCAAACTCCTTTAGATTTTTTTTTCGAATATCAACACTTTTTTAATAAGTTGTGAGCATTCGTACCGATTTACTGTCTTCCATCATACGGAACGCTCAAACCTTTAAAAAAACGAAAGGTCGATTGCCAATTTGATTAGAATATTATATTCGACAATAATGTATACTATAAAACGGAAATGTGCAACTAAGGAAGCAATTCAATAGGTAAAATGGTTTAACAAATAAAACGACCATGTTTACAGTAGTTGTCGTCTGTTTATGTAGTTCATACATGTTTCTCGTTTCTCGTTTTTATATAGATTAGACCGTTGGGTTTTCCGTTTGAATGGTTTTACACTAGTAATTTCTTTATAGCTTGCTGTTTGGTGTGAGCCAATGCTCCGTGTTGAAGGCCGTACCTTGACCTATAATCGTTTACTTTTATAAATTGTTACTTGGATGCAGAGTTGTCTCATTGGCACTCATACCACATCTTCCTATATCCATGTACATGTTTTTAGATGTATGACAAAAGATCATCATATCTTAAAAAACAAATCTACCTGCTAACCACTATCATATCTTAAAAAACAAATCTACCTGCTAACCACTATCATATCTTAAAAAATAAACCTACCTGCTAACCACTGGATCCATGTCTGATTTTGATATTCGTTTAAGTATATAAATAAAATTGGATATTTTTAGTGGACCTGATTGGCATGATATCGGCAACTACATGTAATACCGCCAAAAAGGGTTTACATATTAAATTACTGATTTAAAAAGTAATATAAATAAATTTACTCAAATGTCAGAACTACTCTTAAGAAATATAATGTAAATGATATATTTCGTGCACATGAATGTATGATAAAATGATTAATAAGCTCACATGAATTACAGATGAAACGGAGAAAACAAAAATTAATTAATACATTCATTGGCTCTCGGTCATTAAATTTTACTCAGTACTCGGGAGTACAAAAGTGTGCTCGAAGCAACAAATACATAGTATTTTGATTTTGTTCACTCATGGTTGTCAATATAATGGAATTTTATGAAAATGAGAGGTTTTAATTATGTAGCTATTAAACCAGGTTTAACCCACCATTTTTGACACAAGGAAATGCCTGTACCAAGTCAGGATTATGGCAGTTGTTTTCCATTCGTTTGATGTGTTTGAGCTTTTGGTTTTGCCATTTGATAAAGGACGTTTTTCTTGAAGTTTTGTATTTTTGTTTTTTTTACTTTTGATAGCTGTTGATACCTGAGTCTGAGTACGATCATCATGCCCAAAGGCTGGATTTCTATCTTTAATAAAAATTGTCGTTTATTGTCTGGCATCAGTAGCAAATGTGTGGTTTGTAAACCAATATGTACATACTAGGCAGTTCAATCATTTATTTGAAGTGCATACAAAATATACTGATTTACTAGTTTATTTTATTTATAACAACACATTACAATATTACATATAACAATATTAACGGTAAACATATTACTGCACCAGATGCACAATTCGGCATTTACTGTCTCCTCAGTCATGTTCGATACGAAAATATTTTAAAATTCAATACTATAATTTTGGTTTGATTATATACCACCCACATCAAGAACGCCACAACTGTAATTTGAAGAATAAAGCAATAGAGTATTACCAACGAAACAAATCTGGCAAAGAAATCAAACATTAAAATTTCTGTCAAGATTTAGCCCGACAATTACACTTAGACGTGCAAAAACAAAACAAACATACAGAAAACTATAGATGGTATTATAAATGAAAGTATCTGCCAGTACATAGGTCCACACAGTACATGACAAATGATCATTATGATTCATTTGACATACTGTACATTTAGAAATCTAAAATTTGTTTTGCATTTTCGATTGCGATTGTTTTTACTTTTTGCAAAAGCTTTTTCGTCGCAATTTTTGCGAGATAATTTGTATATCTCATTTAAGGTTTTTATATTTATTTGTACTTTGAGCAGAGTGCATGAAATTTTGTAAACATTCATTTCAATGAAAATTAATATATATGGAAATTTGTTTTACAGATGAGTCAGAATTAAGGAGTATTATGGCAAATAGTGTACTATAGTATTTGAATACATAACAGGATGGATAGTACCATCATACCAGGATTATTTGGACTGAATCTTAATCTGATGTATGTTTTAGACATCCAAATGATTTATGATAAAATAGAAGGACTTAAAATACGACTGCAAGTTGAGCATAAGTGTGTACATAATGTTCTTAATAATATGATTGCTATTTTGAAAACAAAACTACCAAGATTGCGATGTTATGCAAAAGAAAATCTTGAACATATTCTAAGGGAAAATAAAAACAATTTAAATGCATTGTCCGATCTAGAACAGATTTATAAGGGATTGCATAGACTATCGGACGCAGCAAGATGCAAACAACGCATGGAAAAAATCATTAATAGCACCCAAGAAAAAGACATGGTCAATAAAGCTGTTTGTCTTTTGGAACAAGGGTATGCATTGGTGCACGATATGTCAGCTAATATTGAAAACATTGCAAGCAGCAAATTAACTGATGCACACAAGCTGCTGCAGGCAGAACACCAAAGAAGCGAAAAAGAAAGAAGATTAGTGCTTCAAAAATGTGTTTTCCACAACAAACAAACTATCAGTAATTTAGAACAATCTATCCAATGCAGTAGAACAAACGAATACTTTCTTCGCAAAATCACAGCCCTTCAACAATTTGAAAGGGCCCAAATCATCTGCAGCAAATATCCATACAAAATAGTATGGTCGTATTACATTGGGGAGGCATGGAATCGTCATGTCGATTCACTACAAAGGCAACGAACTGAACATAGAATAAAAGATGTCTTGGATGCTACCTGTAAGGCGATTGAAATGTTTTTAAATGTTGCAAACATGACAGATGACATTGATAAAAAAGGAACTTACATTTCAAGATCACTTGCACAAATAGGCCATATATTAATAAAACGACACAAGACACTTGAAAATAATCCTACAGATTTTGAGTTCATTAAAGATGAGTCATTTGTCAAATATATCAGAGACCCAATGATACCATTAAGAAAGGCATATGACATGCAGAAAATAATACCCGATTCATTTGTAATGAATAAATATGGACGTGCTTTATTCCATCTTTCGAAAGAGAAAGATTCGCATGTAAAACGACAGCGACTTGAAATGGCTGAAGCAATACTTACTAAATCAACAGAATGTTTTACCATGAACTGGTTCGCTTATAGTACGCGTATGCAAGTTGCCGAAAGTTTAGGCGATTTGCATTTAACGACAAACAGAGAATTGTCTTGGCAATACTTTCAAGCAGCACACAACGATGCTTCGAATCAAAAGGATCTGCCATTGATATGGAAATATTGGCAAGAATATGTCAGAAGATTGCCAAGTTCCCATCCACCAACAAATATGGCGCCTATGTGGTTAAGAATAAAGAGTTTCTTCACTATGCTCTTGATTATTTGCAACACGGAATAGCTTTATCAGGTCCAAGCGAATACAACATTGCCAAAAGAATGGCATCATGTTTATACGACTTAGATGAACTCGTCACAGCTGCTGAGTGGATAAAACGAGCGTTATCATTATCCTCATATGTTAAGACATATGACTTTAAAGTTACCTGTTTATATCTTCTAAAACGATATGGCGTTGAAAGCAAGGATAATGGAGGTGACAAACCCTACTATCTTCTCCGAGAAATAATTTACATACTGCTTAAATGCCAAAAACAGCAGGCAAATACGAAGGAAGTGTATGAATACATGATCAGGAACGACTACTCCGACTTGTGTTCACTTATATACGATGTGGTAACGGTAAAACAATTGTTAAAACAAACCGGTATAGATATAATTACAGAAATCTTGCAATGTGGCACAGCAATAAAAACATTAGATACAGGACGACAGAAGCAGCTTGAACAGTTCAAAGAACAAATATCAAATGTCGTTCCACAAGACGATATTGAAATGGATCTCGAAGAAGAGTTTGAAAAATCTTCAGCACCTATTCCGATTTCTCTAGAGACTCAACAGGTACCCGAAGGATATCAATACAGTTTCTTCATATCTCATAGCAAGAGAGACAGTGACTGGGTTATCAATATGCTTCTTTTCGAATTAGAAAAGAAATTTTCAGACGAAGACGAAGCTTTTAAAGGTAATTTATAGATTTTTAAAGATATAAGAGCCTCGTAGTTAATCTACAGTTACCGCTAGCCTGTCAACACTATTGTTGTGTGTTCAAAATCCGCTCGTGTCAAGGTGATCTGAATTGTCTTTGTTTGATTGTTTTCCTGTCGAAGGTGCGTGGTTTATTCCGGATACACCACTTTTATCTAAACATAAAACTAGTAGTCATGACATAACAAAGAGTGCTGTTAATTGCAATAACCATAAACCATCAATCAATAAAAAAAATGTAATGTTTTCACCTTCCGTCTGCTTACAAAAAAGAAATGTATCGAATACTGTTAAAGACAGAAAAAAAACATGTATGTAATAGTTAACATGCAGGGAACGACCATTTAACTTCAAAGGGGTGGGGGGCGGGGGGGGGGTGGGTGGGGGGGGAGGGGTGTTGTTGTTTTTTCTTCAAAAATATTCTGATCCTCAATTTGATGAAAAAAATATTGTGGTCAAGCAGATTACATAAAATTATTCTGAATCCAGGTTTTCCCCATGCCTTATCATGCTTAAAGTGTTAAATTTGGTAAAAAAAAATGATTGTCAAAAAACTAAAAAATAAATATTTTCTGACTCAGACAAAAAAGCCATACCCCCGTTTTTGAAGTTAAATGGTTGCTCCCTAAAGTACAAAAAACATTTTAGAAAAAACCCAAATATTTTATAATTTAATTTATTATTTAATATGATAATAATTGATTTCCTGTCGATATAATAACTAGCAAACATATCTGATGGTGAATACAATTTGGGTATCTGATAACACTTAACTCAAATAAATAAGAGTCATAGAAATTCTAATCCACGAATTCAAATATAGAACAAATATTCAACGATTGACCGAACCAGACATTATTTCACGAATGAACTTATTATCAGTGTTGTTCGGTCACGAGCTAAATATTTTTCCATACTTGTATTTTTGAACTAGTTATTGTTTTTGATACATTGGCATTGAAATTTTGAAGGAAATAAAGTGAACAATACAAGAAAGTTTTTGTTTGTAACGCATTCTAAATGCGATTTTGGTATAACGTCATCGACAATATCTTAACAACATCCATTCTTGTATTGTCAACATATATATATGTAATAATTGTGTAAATTATTTTCAGGTTGTATTGCGGACCGGGATTTCGTTCCGGGAAAAACGATAATCAGGAACATCACAGAAGCAATCAGAAAAAGCTGTAAGATAATCCTTGTGCTAACAAGAAATTTTGTTGCGAGCCCTTGGTGCGAGAACGAAATGGAAAGAGCATTAGTACGACATATTAATGATAAAGATAGTTGTGTCATTCCCCTTTTATTGGAACAGTTGTCAGATGAGCAGTTTCCTGATTGTTTAAAAAATATTACATATTTAGATATGACAGATGAAAGTACAAGGATTCAAGAAATAAGAAGACTGAAGCGGGCTTTGTTGTATGTACCTGGTGATGATATTATATACGTTCTGGAAGACAAGTGAATATTTAAGCTCAAGACGTGGCAATACAATGGAAATGTGTAATATAAAATACCAATCGTCACACTAGACATATTGATGTTCTGCAATTTGGTTCAATTTTAAAGATGCTGATCAGAAAATGTTGTCTCAGGTTTATAATTTTGTAACTTATTAAACGACACGTGACCATTACAAAAGTTAATAAGTAAAACTCATTCATTTTATTTTCTCTTATACTTGCGTCGCACATATTGCACTATTGTATACGATGTTTAATAAGATGAGCATATTTTGTTATTTTCAAACGAAATTGATTAAATCATGATTGATCTTGATATTCACTGCTTTTAAGAAAGGTGCAGAAGCAATATTCTATGATTATGTTTGTCATATCAGTGTTTCCTGTAACAGATAAAGGGATAAGTAGTGTGGTCGCCAATTATACAACAACCCGACAACACAAATAACAAAAGACGGGCCAACATACCTTTGCAGCAATAAACAGATGCCCTATATATTTCAACAGGGTCTAGATCTTCCCTTGTCTAAAATAGAATATAGAGAAGAAACTATAAAATCACGTTCTGGTCACATGAGATCAAACTCGAAAAATAACTTTCAAGACAAGTTACAACCAAGGAGATGAATTTGAAAACCCGTTCAGAACACCTGTGGTAACCCTAGGATGTTTTGGGGGCGTGTTTTTCAAATTTTAATATTAGTTTTGTGTAAACATTGTGTATGTGTTTCTCTCTCGTTTGACTATGATGTTGTATGGTCGGCAACTTAAGGTTTGGTTGGGCCCTTATTTTTTTGTATTTCGTTCAGCAGTTACAATGTACCATCCATAGAAATTGTTAAATTGTTAATCTTATGTGAAAAAAAACAGTACAAACGTATAACCCTATTAATTTATCATAAATGGGATATATAATCAACTTTAAAATTATTTTTTTTTCGCGGTGTATTTAAAGATTGGAAAAACATTAATATCGAAGAAAATCATAATGACGTACACAACAGAGCATCTTAAGCCTGAGTCTTAACAAGTCACAAGAAACACACATTATATTATGTTCTCTTCGAAATTACGTCGCAGGATAGATAATGTACAGATCATAGTCTGCATACTGTGAACAATGTTTCGATAAATAGACGAAAAGCATGTAGGTAATACAAATAGAGTGGAAAATATTATTTGTGGAGAAAAAAAAATGTACACCAAGGATGTTTTAGGTATATTAAGATAAAGACTCTTTAGTATTCTATGTCCAGAGGGAGATTTTGACCCAGTAAGTGAAACAAACACTGGAGAATTTGGCCATACTCCTTAATGAAGATATTCAGTCCTACTGAAAGGGTAAGTTGGAGGATAAATAATGAATATGTCATAGCCTACAGATTTTGTATAAATGTATTCATGGAGTCAGATCAAATCAGGTAGGTAACTCAAAATGAAATAACAGTAGGTATATAATTGTATAAAACAAAGGAATAAGCATTTGTTTTTTTTTTAAATTGTCACATGAAAGGGTTCTTAAGGGTTATTTTCTTTCAACATGAATTGCATGTAATTGTATCAGTATTATCGTGGTAAAAGGCCTTTGTTCGTCGTGTTACCATATAACGTAAATACACAAGTTTGATGAAGATCAATGAAGTATATGTTGTCCGAAAACTAATGTTGTTTTTGTCTTTGGGTTGTTGTCCCTTTGTCGTTTACCCCACATCTCCAGTTATTCATACTTTTAAATTTAAATTAAGAGAAAGACATATATATTTTTTTCAAATTGCAATATACAGCTACAGTAGAAATACATGACTGAAATCCAAATTACTGTATCAAAAATGTCACTTGATCCTTACCATATGATTCAGTCTATTGTTAGTTTGATACTCCATTTGCTGCTATCGATAACAACAATGTCATGTGTACAGGAATACATATTATATACAGCATTATACGAATGTTACAGCTTTTAACAATGACATGCAAGGTTATTGGTCAATTTTGACATGTTTATGATGTCATATTGTTATCTCAAGTGATTGTTCTGCACATAAGTTTCTCGATACTAAGTCATATCAAATAACTGGTTCATTTATCTGAAGAATGAACATGACACAGAAAATCATGAATATCTTTCCTTTTTGCGAGTTAAGGGGTTGAATAATGACCCTTACCATTACTCCTTATTTGCTTAAATAAAGGTTAACGATAAATAGTTTACTCCACTGACGTTAACTGTAACTAAACAAGAATTTCTCCATAGTACACGGATGCCCAATCTGCACTATCATTTTCTATGTTCAGGGGACCGTGAAATTGAGGAAAAACTCTAATTTGACATTAGAATTAGAAAGATCTTATCATAGGGAACATGTGTATTAAGTTTCAAGTTGATTGGACTTCAACTTCAACAAAAACTACCTCGACCAAAAACTTTAACCTGAAGCGGAACAGACGGACGGACAAACGAACGGACGCACAAACCAGAAAACATAATGCCCATAAATGGGGTATAAAAATGCGATTTGAAGTATGCCAATATAATTTTTAGACTCATTTAACGCTAAACGTATCGACTTTAGTGTTAAAAAACTGACACATAGAGCAAAAGATCATTCCAATCCTCCTGACATATTTGCGGTAGGTGAATATTTCTTAGTATGCTTTTGATATGTTCAAATATATAAAAAACTTGGCAATATAAACAAATTTTCACGTCGTTATAACCGTAAATAAAAGGTGGCAGTCGAGCTGTTTGGATAAACCAAACTCTGAAAACAAACAATACAAATAAAGACTGTTAAATCAGAAATTTCGCTTCGAGCTAAATGATTCCTCCCCATTTTTTCAAAGATAACATACGCCTACATACGGGCTTTGTCATTTTCTAACAAAAAATATGAGAGCCTTTAATTCAATAGCGTCCAAAAAACAAAGTTGCATTAGATTATGGTAGTCCTCCTTGATACGGACCTTTTCATTTTTGAACGAAATTATGATAGGTCATGATTAAGGATGTATTCTTCTGACGCTTCAGTCTCGTGGAAATTTCGTTCTGGAATTATTTCCAAAACATGTGATACAATTTTAATGCGCAAAATATCGTTGTTACAGCATTTTGTTATTTGCTCTGTTTTATTGTTACATGAAGTGATGGTTTGGGAGTACACGTCAATAAGACAGCAACTTAACAGCAATACGACTATACGTGTTTACATAAATTTTTCAACAATTTTACGTAGATATATTCAAGCGATGAATAAATCCAATTCTAAATGAGCTAACTATAAATTAAACGCACACGAGTGCAAAAGTAATAATTTTAAGCTTTGATCATACCAAATCACACTGAAACAACGAAGAAAGGCCAATTAACCCTCATGAAGACGAATCGCGTGTATTGCATATTCAATTGGAAAGGGAACTAATTTTGATATTTTTAACAAGGAAGTTTATATTTGTTTTTGCAAAAACTGTATATTAGGGTGCTTAAGGGTTAATTTCTTTTACACATTTTAAATGTATTTTTTCGAGTACTTTCGTGCTAAAAGGCCGTTGTTCACGTGTTACGTCCAAATGGATGGAAATGGCTAAAATTATTTCATGTTCAACGTAGATTCATTGATTTGTTTTTATTTTAAATACCTCTGTATATGGTACCCATGAAAAAAATGAAAACAACACGTGAACATATAACATATCACACGACAGCCGCATAACTAATCAATACCTGTGCATGCAATATGCATATTATGTTTTTATCATTTTAAAATCGAGTGTTCCTGGTACTGTTGACGTCGTTTGCCAGAATGAAGACCTTTGTAGTTCTTGTTGCATTCTTACAACTTGCAATAGTTGCAAGTCTAAGAAAACACAAACCGGTCAGTATTACCTTGAATGCAGGGAAAAACATACCAGTTATTGGCCTCCTAATAGACAATTCGAACTAGATTAAAGAAGGGAATTATCAGTTAGACAAAACAAAGGCAGTTTCGAAGCAAAATAGGGACAGCATTTCTGCAATTAAATCCAGACTAACAGACCTCAGTAAGGCGGTAAATGGCTTGCTTAAAACAACTGCACAACAGGCTGATCCGGCAAGTGATGGTTTGTATACATAAGATAAAACTTTATAATTGTGCGAACTTAATTTATTTTAGATGCAGATATAAGTTGATATTTAAACTAAAAGTTGACATTATGAAAACTCACAATGACTTTACAAATTTTAACAGCGCGGTAAGAAATCTTATTGTAAGTACGTTATTTTCTAACAAATAGGCGCGTGATAGCACTGTTTGTCCTTTGTTCTAGTGATTATTAAACGAGTCTATAGTCTATAATTATAGAGCTCGTTAGAGCATCGATCTATCTGTTAAATGCGACAATACAGATTATAGTCGTTCAGACATACAGTGAGAAAAAGTGGGAAAGACTACAATCTTATAATGTTGATTTGTAATGGTATATTGTTAAGTTCACACATTGACAATTAGCTAATGATTTAACGACGAAAAGAAATAGAAAAATGTAACATTGGGGAGTGGAAGTTTCCAAATAAACATTATGACTTATTTTGTTTTTGTTTTTTTAGAAAATGTTTTCTTTATATATTAGGTTACATTGGATGTTACAAGGATGACGGCAATCGACATCTCAAATATTAAATATCGGACTTGGGGAATTCTATAACCTTGGCTAAATGCCGTGAACATTGTACAGGATATAAATACACGGGCTTGCAGGTAGATATGATTCCACAACAAACTTTTAAAGTTCAATAATCAGATACGTAATTTGAAATAGGCATTTGTAATTGGCTTATAATCGTAATAGGTTATACTATTGTAGATATTTATTACTCAAACATGGTCGAGGCAAAGCTGAGATATAAAAAACATATACCAAATAATATAGTTTATATAAAATGTGCTTTGTGTTTACCACTGTGACGTCACTTTGTTGAGTTATGATCATTTATTTGTTCATATCCTTGAAAAACGTCTATTCATTCCTTTTTATTTTGTGCAAATCATATACATGTATTAATTATTATCTATAGACATTACAATTTGTTTTTCATTTTTGTATCGGACATATTGTCTTTGTGGAAATGAATTAGCAAACAAACAGTATCCAAGGGTACCAGAATCAGATTGTAACATGGCTTGTGCTGGTGAAACGAATCAAATGTGTGGAGGTGGCTATAGAAACTCGATATATTTAGGTAACTAAATCAAATGAATAGTTTGCCTATCATAAATAAAATTAAAGAAATTATAGATTTATATGATATAAATATGGAATTAGAAATAACACTTTTAAAATGTCGTGCGTCCGGATATGGTCTGATTTTAAATGAGAAAAACTATCAATCGGAGACCAAATCGTGTGGATGTAAGTGACTTAAGGTTCCAATACGGATTTTAATAATGAAAAAAATACAAACAACCAATATCTTATTTAAAGCTAGTGTGTCTTACTTTTACGTCCCATTTATATAATGTTCATTTTAAATGTATTTTCATTAACATGATTAATATAAACATTTAAATGGATCAATTCGGAAGTTGTATTGCATTATGGGACCAACATTGTTTTTAGGCGTTCTGGTTGCTTCAAACACCAATACGACGACTCTGAAAATACACGTCATTAATGCATGGGGACGAACATTGATATTTGTTTATTTATAGTAAATTCTTATGCATATATTTTTCTTTTTCAGTCAAACCGTAATCGCAAAGAGAAATGCAGAAAAAACACAGATATCAGTATCAAAATAAAATGATAGTACTTTAATGTGATTGCTTGTTGAAATTACTGCATGTTTATAATATACAAGGATTGCAGAAGATCAATGAAGTAATCTGATGGCTTGATGTATTTCTTTTCATTGCGGTCTCAATATCTCCTGCTATCCATATCATTAAATCTAAATAAGGAGAAATATTTCTTTGTTTACAAGATGCAGATCCAGTAAAAATACATGACCGAAATCAGGTTTTTTGTATCATAAATTGTCTTTTGATCCTTATTGTGTATTTCAGTCAGTTGTGTGTTTGATACTCCATTGGCTGCTATAGATAACATGACATAGTTAATACATGATACCCACGATACAGCAGTCTGCCTTACGCAATACACGAAAGTTAAATACGTATATTTTTACAATTTTTTTCAAAATTAGAAGAGTCAAATGATCAATGCACGAGGTCAGTTATGTATGGTTTGGGGTGGTTTTTTGTATCTTTTCAGCTTTCAATATTCATTGTTCCCTCATTCTGTATTTAATATATAGATGAATCAATTGGACAAGACGAAATAGGGGTGGATGTGTAGGACAATAATTTGATAAGATTCTATGGTAGAATGATACTAGGAAACAACCAATATTTCAATTAAGATGTGCGTTTAATTGGTTTCTTTACAGTTAATAGAAGTTTATCAGCAAAAAAACTACTTCAGCTCAAACCTAGTGGAGACATACATTTATGTCTGTTATTGATCAAGTTAGGTCTTTCCACTTTTCTGTTGAAAGACCTATTGTATTTGTTCCGATTATATTTTTTTTATTCTTCCGCCAAACCCGTTTCCTGCGGTCTAAAATGGTTTCGCAAGATGTTTCTTATATTTCTTGCATATGACATCGAACAGTTTTGCGCTTTTGAAAATCACTCTGTTTAACTTTTTATTGGTAGATATTTCCTCAAACACTTTTTTCTTGTGCGTGAATCTCCCTCGCAACCGTAAAAGAAATTGAATTTATTTTTCCCAATTGGTTGTTAATTCAATTTTCACCGAAGCGACACTGTCCAAAGCTATGGGATGATATCTTACAGGATTTATAGCCCTGATATCGTTAAATGTAAGGCTTATTGATTATAGCTTCATACTGGTACATGATAAAGACATGGGGTCTTTTACAATGGGATAGGTGACATATGACCTTGAAAAACATCAAGCGAAAGTGACCTTGTGCAGACCGGATGTAGCCATGTTTACTCTTATTCAAATGAAAATAACTTAGAGACTATAAATTTTTGGAATCAGCATACAATAACATATAAAATAATACCGGAAATGGCCTTTGTTAAACCGGATGTAGCTAATTATTTATCTTTATTTGAAACAAACGTACATAGACATGATATTTTTTGGAATATGTGTAAGTAAGCTATCTTTTGGAACCGAATGTGACCTTCTGTAAATCGAAAGTGGTTGATTATCTCCATTATTACAAGAAAAAGTACATACAAACCATTTTTTTGGAATCGGTGTAAAATAACCTTTAAGATAAAACCGGAAGTTACCTTTTCTAAGCAGGAAGTATCTTATGATTCCCTAATTTCACATAAATGTACCTAGCAACCATTTGATTTACAAATCAGTATAAAATGTTCTTTAATATAACACAGGAAGTGAAATTTTCTAGACCAGAAGTAGCTTATGATCTCCTATATTTCAAGTGCAAGTTCAAAGAAACCATATATCTTTATAATTGGTGTATAGTTTTCTCATACCCTTAGTGGTTTGTTTTTCTTTTCAAAAACACTTAGTCTAATCTTATGTAGAAAGACTGTCAGTTGTTCTCTGAACAATTGGTTTTTAATTTGTTTTTATTTTTGCCATGAAGAGTGAATTTAAAGAATTATATTTTGATGAGTGACTATAATAACCTAGCCAAACGATCGCGAAGCGATTCAAACTGTTTTTGACTTTTTTTATATAAACAATGATGTTTTCGATTGATGGTGAGTTAACACAATTTAGCTAACGCCTGAATCCTCCCTAGCCAAATTTTGGTAATTTTAAACAGATATGAATTTGTCCAGATTCCCATGTGACCATGTGATCATGTGACAAATTAATGTATTTTTTAGAATTGTGTTGACCTCACTTTATATTCCATATTAATGTGGTTTGTAATGTTCAATGCTTCATTGTCTTTCTATTGTGTTTCAATGTTTGTTGAAGTGTATGATTGCCCCATGATGAACCAGTATGAACATTCTGTTGTTAAGATTTTTCATTTCCAACTAGACATTTCTCATTTTTAACTGCAAGTTGACATTTCTCATTTCCAACTGCAAGTTGACATATTTCATTTCCAACTGCAAGTTGACATTTCTTACTTCCAACTGCAAGTTTACATTTCTCATTTCCAACTGCAAGTTGACATTTCTCATTTCCAACTGCAATTTGACATTTCTCATTTCCAACTGCAATTTGACATTTCTCATTTCAAACTGCATATTGACATTTTTCATCTTCAAATTAACATATTTTAGTTCCGAGTTTACATTTCTCATAGTTATCTAAGTTGGAACAGAGAAATGTCAACTTGGAAATGAAAGAAAAACACTTAATTAGTTTCTTGCGTTCGAAGTGCACCATTGAAATAAAATATACTCATGCAAGCTACTCATTTGTGTCTTCTCTCAATACATGTATGGTTCGGTGAACAACTGGTTGGCTGTGCCAAATTTTTACTTGTTGGTGGAAAGGTAAAACAGTCATTTTTGAAGTATTTTAAGCATTGTCGGTATTTCTTATTTAAAGGAACGTGGGATAAACGTTAATTAGATGGCTGCCAAACAACACAAAAGAACCACAAGTATTTATACATTTGTATAAAGGTAAAAACACTGTCAACAAATCCGGAAAACGATATATTTCAACATGCTGAACTCTGAATCTCTCTTATCTAGAACATTTGCAAATTTGTGACAGAATGTAATAGAGATCTGCTATAAATTGATACAAAAACTATAAACTTAAACTGCATAAAATTTAAACCGACAACTTATATATTGAATGTTTGAGATTACGTGAGACATTTGATCTTGTTATTTTATTGAGTCAATCGTATCCGGTTTAGAGGGAAATCTCGAGAAATGTCAGACGGACACAATATACTGTTATTGTTGTTGAATGTTTAAAAGAATTTCTCTGTATGTTGAAGGACAAATATTCTGAACATTTTGGATAATGGTATATGTACTTGTATGCACAATGATTTGTTCATTTGTCGTTTACGACACTTGTATTAAGAGAACTTTAAACATCTAAGTTCTTAGTACATGTATTGTTGTAATTTGCACATTTTTGAAAAAAAGAATCTACCTCGTGAAAAAGCAGCGTGAAAGTTTCAAAAGATTAAGAGTAAGGTAACTAATCAAACGAACACAACGTTCTTAACAGTATGGTGTCAGTAACGGTTTTTTATAAGTAAAGTCGAAGACCAGAAATCAGCAGCAAAATGTTGAAAACAAAACAGAAACACAGTGAAGCTGAAAACAATGGACACGTTACCCGCCTGGATCTAACTAATCCTGTGTATTCAATATTCCCATGTCCCGATTAGTTTGGCTTTATTTTGATATGATAGAATATTGTTCTTCTTAAATCTGATTTCATTATTTTTGTACCAATGTCTTTACTTCACTTGTCCAGTGTTTTTAGCTGACTTGTCAAGTGGTTTACGTTTTTTGTGTATGCATCAGTCTTGTTATGGTTTCTTTGGTGTGTTATTACTCTGGATTTTGATTATTCACCCTCCTTAAAACATAATTTCATTTGTATCATGAACCTCGTACACTTTTGTTTTGACTTTAGAGCATTCATGTTCACAAGGTAATCTTGGATGTTAAACATTACATATACAATCAACAATCGTAAAATTATCGATCAATGATTTGCAAACCTTATATTTCAAACCATTACATAATGAATTATATAATGTTGAACAAGTACTTAATGAATTAACATAAAGTACGGGTTTAGTTTCGCAATAAATACAATAAGTAGTATTTATATTACCTGAAAGGATTATATACATCTGCTGCAACTTAAGTATCTAATAATCTACATTTGCAATCTATTACAAACCAGTCTGAAAAATTACTGATCATTGAACAAAAGACTAATTTTAAGTTGTAGATCATAATGAATAACAATATATCAAATGGAGTTTATACCCGGTGGTCACCTCTTTAGTGGTTCACATATTAAGATATCTTATGGATAAGGTATGTAGGGCATATCTTAAAGTTATTTTTTACAAAATGTATCTTTTATTTTCCATGAAAAAAAAAATGATGATGCTAAAACGAAGATGAAACATAATCTAATAATTATTATTCGATGAGAAAAAGAAATAAACTAGTCTGGAGTTAATGATTTTATCGCATTTCCTTTAAGAGACGATAGCTAGAAAAAAAAGATAACATAGATAAATGCATCGTCGCTTTTCGGTATCTGATGATTTCAAGAACTGAAAAGATTTCATTTAGAAATGATGAATAACAGATTCTTTTTCTTAAATCTTGAAGAAAAAAAAAGGCGTAATCGAATAATCGACGTGGAAACGAATCATCTGTCTGTCAAAGGAAAATTAAATCGAATTTCCATGTACAAACATGAGGACAAACAAGACATGCAAAATATGCAGATTCGTAAAAAGATACCAAATGAAATAAATTCATCTTTTTGTTCTGAATCGTACGATGATTTTATTAGGTTGCTTATTGTTTCTAAAAATGTGTTCTCTTTGGAATAAACGTTGTCTTTTTGTAGTTAAGAAAATGAATATTTGGTTGATGTATATGTACACCATAATTGTATTCGAACAAAAATAAAATTCGTAAAAATATTTTTTATATAATTACAAAATTCATGGTAAAATATTTGGTCGATTCATGTTGTTAGTATGTTTGATTTTACTTGATGCAAATTTCGTATATTATCCATTCATTTCATTGGACACGTGGCATTTTTTTTATTTTCACTCACCTTTCATA